GATGCCTGTTTTCTCTGTCTCTCAAGGCCCTGCTCACTAGCGACCAATATTTGTCAAGAGAACCATCTTTCTCATCTGCCAAGTCGGCGCCAGTGTTAGAGGCCTGCCGTCGGCTCTCGCTTCACAAAGGCTAAGTTGGAAGAGCTGTCCTCTGGTGCCTCTTAACTCCCCACAGCCACAGCACTGCCTATGCCTGCCCACTTTCTGCTCTAACACTCCAGAGGCAGGGGGGCAGCTTTTGGACCTAGGAGGGTGTAGGTAGCTTCCTCGCATACACTTTAGGCCACATCTCTTGTCTCTGGACAAGCGCAGAGCAATGAGCAGAAGTGGGGAGGTGGGGAGCCCTGCATGGCTTCCTCTTGCCCGGGAAGCATCTGAAGACCTGTTTCAAACTGCAGTTCTACTGGAGCCAGCTACCATGTTTCCCTAGACTTCTTTTTCCTGAGTGAACAGCCCAGGTTCTTGTACACGCCCCCAAACCAGCCATGGTTGTGAGACCCACCTCCCATCCCAACTCATCTCCTCTGAAATATGAAACAAATAAAACACGACCACCACACAAAGCACTTTTATACAGATCACATCCAATGTGACTGGGTCTGCGTAACCATCAGGAACAACTACTGGATTCTTTTACAAACGAGGAAATGGGCTCAGGGGGATGAGGCGCTTTGTTCGTGGTCTCATTGCTGGCTTCAGTGGAGCTGAAAGTTGGTCAAAGGGCTCCCACGTGCTTCACAGGAAACTACAGAGTCAACCTATGACCACCGGAAGTTGCAATGCTGAGTACTGAATACAACCCTATAGGTGAGTCTGACCAGAGCCAAATAGAGCGCCACACCTGTCACCCTTCTCTAAAGATGGCTGGGACACTCTTGACCCACAGGGAGCATATCTTGCCCCCTTTTTGACAAGCATTGCTATCAAACCGTGAGTCCTCACACTTATACTCCAGTAGCTGATTTGAGGGGGAACTGAGCTGTGAGGTCATACACCGATCACTAGCGTCCTGACAGATCCACGCATCATTCACTTCTACCAAGACTGGCTCCGTGCCCTTTGATGGTGTAGCCGTTAAACATTGGGACCCAGAACACACAATGGCCAGCACGAATCCTCCTTCCTCAGTTTCTTAAACTATAAATTAGCAAACCCACTTCATGAGGTTTTGCTTTTAGGTGTGAAAATGCACAGAAAGTCCCTGGTAGACGAGGTGCTGAGTGCATTAGCTCTAATTGTTACATTACTTGCCTGTGCCATCAGATCAGGTGATAAGCACACTTCTGGTATCTTTCCAAGTCATGAGAAAATTGTAGACCAAATCAGAGCAAAGGACACCACTCCCTCTAGGTTGACAAAAACACACCTATCAGCAGCCTTATGGTGTTTGGCTGCTTTCAAGCTCAACAGTGACAAAAGGGCCAGTAGCCCTGGGTGTAATTCCTGACTCCGACATGCACCTGCCATAGGGCGGTGGCTAAGTGATCCCTCTATGGTTTATGAGTCTCTTCCTCTGTGCCACAGGAATAACCAAAGTGCCTATCTTTTCAGGGATGTAGTGTCTGTAAAGCACCTGGTAGGTATTAATGGCTTCATAAATGTTACTCATTATTACCATAATACCAGCTCTTATTCACTTATTTTAGAGGTTATTTTCAGTGATCTTGTCAAAATGTTTTTCCTTTAATCAAAACACCACACAGTAGTGTGTTTCTGTATCAGGTCTTTAAAAAGGAACTTACATGTTTGTTCCTAGGAGCTCACTTTGGGGCCCTAGGGAACTGTCAGCTCCTGGAGGAGGGGCTGTCTCCACGTCTTGCCACACTGGCGCATCTCCAGGGCTGCTCCCGAGCCACGCAGGGTACATGTCTTGGTCTGTCCTTGACATCCTTTATTTTCCCCACCAGGTCTCCAGTTCGCTCATGCTGCCCTGAGAATTATTTTGGAAAACAAACAGTGCACACCAAGTTGCTTATTAGGTGCTATCCCTCTAAGGAGTGGCTGAATTTTTGGAGGTCCCAAAGAAGACTGTGAAAATTCAAGGGCCAGCATTTGAAACAGAGGTATTTTTTGGAGCCTGAGACACCAATATATTTGAACAGAGGATCTGACCTCCTTCCGCCTCCCAAAATACCCCAAATCACAATCTGTATCCTGCTTCACATACGTAGAAAAGTACTTCCTACATTGTATTACCAGAATATTTTTTTTCCATCTTCAGTATTTCCAGCTGATGTGTTACCAGAATATTAACTACTAACTTTAAAATGTTTTTTTGTGAAACATGTGTACAGTTATTAATATACTATGAGAAAATAACTTCTATTGCTATTCTGATAAAGTTCAATACATACTGACTTATGTATTAGTTAATATTTTACTAGATCAGTAGACAAATAATGGCATGATATACTATTTCTGAATATCTGTGTGCCAGGATCTTTGAGAGCCCAAATAAGAGCAAATGTGGGGCATATTACCAGAGGTAGAAGTTCAGGTCAAGTGAGGAAAAGGGCCAATGGCTGGCCGGTGACCCATCATGTGCAAGTATGCACTTTTTCTAAGTGCTGATCCGCGAATCGACACTCTATTACTTTGGCCCATTCACAAAGCACTTAGAAAAGTGCTACCAGAAAAGTAGCACTTGGTGACAAACCAATTCTTGATTGCTATAACAACAAAAAGATGACTTGATTGACAAGAAAACTAGATCCATTATTACTGAGAACAAACCAAACCTGAAAAGATCCCTTAAGTTACAAAAATCAAGCTCAGAAAATCTCTTATTTTGGCCATTACTGCACGTTTTCTCTTGCCTCAGAACTTCAGGAATTTGAGATCTGTTTTCCTTTCCTTTCCTTTCACAGACAAGTTAGAAATTAACCAGCACTAACTTACTGCAGAACCAGTAGGCCTCGTGCTCTGAGATAACGGAAATTTTTTCTTTATTTTGCTTTCATCCTCTGAATTCTCTCTCTGCTGGATCACTCATCCTCCTTTTCTGAGAGCCTTCTCTAACCTAGTGTGAATACATGGATATGTCTGTTGCATTTCCAGCTGTGTGCACCAACAGGCGGTGTACCGGAGAGAGGAACAGCCCATGCACGGGGCCCTCCCCAGCCAGCACGGCCCCGCCCAGAGTCCCCTGAGCTTGACCTGGGGGAGGATCAGGACTACTTAGCAGAAGACCAATACTGAAAGGAAAAATCAAGAGAAAGGCAAACATTTATTCAGAGAATTGGACACTTTTCTCTGCTATAATACATGAAGTCTGCAATATCTTAAGTCACTACAGGACTTTGCTTTCAGATATATTCCAGTGACTTCATCAGAAATTGTTAGGAACTTAGACGGTGCTCGATCAGTGACAGTAGACTATGAATCCAAGTACAGAGAAATGAATCGTACAGCACACTCTTAATAATTTTTTCCTAATAATTATTTCCTGCTCAGTTGAACAGAAAGTGGTATTTAGCATGTCACAGAGAGTATAAACTCTGAAACCTTTAAAGGTCTATGAAAACAGCAGCAGCATTTTAGGTGCAAATTATCATGCACAAAATGAATAGTTCAGCAAGTATATCAGTAAACAAGTATGCATGCCCCCCCGATACCACCACCAGAGAGAGCCATTATGTGAATTTTAATAAGCTCCCTCTATGATGATCAGTGAGCAGTCATTATAAATCTGCAGAGCTGGACAGGCACGGTGGCTCACGCCTGTAATTCCAACACTTTGGGAGGCCAAGGTGGGTGGATCACCTGAAGTCGGAAATTTGAGACCAGCCTGGCCAACGTGGTGAAACCTCATCTCTACTAAAAATACAAAAATTAGCTGGGCATGGTGGCATACCCCTGTAATCCCAGCTACCTGGAAGGCTGAGGCAGGTGAATCGCTTGAACCTGGGAGGTGGAGATTGCGGTGAGCCGAGACTGCGCCACTGCACTCCAGCCTAGGCAAAACTCCGTCTCAAAAAAAGAAAAAATCTGCAGAGCTTCGGCACCTAAGGTGATAAGGAAAAACAGTGCTCACCTTAGCGTCCAATCATTAGTGAAGACACTGCCTACCTTTGTCAGGACAGACATCAGCAGATGGCCAGTCTACATTTGCCTCTTATAGGAATTTTAGAATTAAGGTTTTTAAATTCCCAAGTTAAAAAATACGTTTCAGGACTTAAAAAATAAAAAGTCTACATGCTTTCAAACAGCAATGAAGTCGCCACAATAAGGATGAAAATTCACAGTGCAATAGGTGTTCATCTCGTACATGGAAATGTGAAAGGACACCTTAGGGACACAGCGGGCTGCACCACGGTGAAGCTTGCTGCAGAGTTCAGAGGGCAAGGGGCACTCCCAGGAAGGCAGTGTGGATTAATAAAATGAATGAAGTAGCACTATCTCAAATTATTTAACGGCATCAGACTGTTCTCCTTCCTTTTTCCACAGTGAATTCTACCGTTCCGATGTCCCACACACCTCCTACCTATGCCTGATCCCCAGGTGTGGCTACTCAGCCATGCACCCCGGAGGCCCTCCCTTTATAGCTTCTTGGCCTGGCCTGGGTAGGAATGCCTGATGTGTTTGTTAGAGAGGAAAAAAAGGTTCTTATGCTTACCTCTTTCCCTTACAGAAATTGGATGCAAACAGCTGAGGGTAAGGAAGCAGAGAATAGTCTCCACTTTAATCCACGACCCCGTCATTTCCATGCTCCAATCCTGGCTGCCCATTTTCTTCCCTCCCTTGTGTACAAACATGGCCTTTCCTAGGCCAGGTGGCCAGGCAGCCAGGCCACTTGCTGGGAGGAGGTCCTGGAAGTCCCACTGCACCAGGACTCCCGTCCGTTTCAGTTCTTTGGCTCCAGTCTTTGGATTTCTTCACCTTTGATACTAAATGACAGGACTGACTATGTGAAGAGGTTGCCTGACAGAAGCAGCGAGGAAGGGTTGTTTCTTTTAAAATCCAGCATGCAAATATATAATCGATTCAAAAAGAATGGGATTAGAGAAAAATTCCCACATTTTCTTTTCACTAGTTTTATTTATATTAAGTAGTTTTCACTCAGAATATCAATTCATTTTTTAGGTTTAGATGTATGTATATGTATCTGTTCATATGCATCAATCACTTAGAAACTTTATTTGGTATAACTTCCCATTTTTGGTATATAGAAATAATTTTATTTTCTTAATGCAGCACAGTAGACATATAATCAATATTACTTCCTAGTGTGCAATATATAAATTATTCACATTAAAAAATTAGGAACAGAAAGCCTCTTATGCAGGAAATATTTAAAAATGTATATCTAACTTTGCTTGTTTTCTGACAATATACACTACTAGCTTTATAAATCTGAATGCATATGACATTTACATATTTGAATGAAGTACACAGATGGGTCCATTCCAGATGCTAATTACACTATATGAATAATTTGCTCTTCACTTTGGTCATTGAGATTCCACGTGCTCAGGCATATAGTGGATCTGAAAGACACTTCCAGAAGTACATTTATTACATTGGCATCTTAAGAATTTCTGTTCCTTCTATTCTCCTTTATAGCGAGGGGGCCTTTTCTCTTTAAAAGCAAGAAGACCTTCAAGTCTGTCTTTCGTTGGAATGGTCTAAGAAAAACAAAACATTAAATATATAAAAAATGTTCAAACAACTGTAAAAGTTTATCAAGCACTATCTGAGAAAACTACCTAGAACCACATTCCAAAATTTTGAAATCTATCAGTCACTTGAACAATTCTAATTATGTATCCAAACTCATAATTCTTATTCCAAGTGGTCCTCTACCCCATTTTGCTCTTCTTTTTGCAGTTTCCTAATAAGGTAGAAGGTTATCATTGATTTATCTCTTTTCTAATATATATATATATATATCCAATGCTATTTCTATCACACAGCTTTCAATATGTCCCACAAACTTTGAGAAGCTTTATTTTCACTTTAATTCAAAATATTTTATAATTCCTCAATACATCTTTGACATATAACATTATTTAGAAGGGTGTTGCTTAATTGCTCAATATTTTGGGCTTTTTCAGCTACCTTTCTTTTATTGATTTCCAGTTTAATTCTATTGTGGTCTGCAGAATACCCTGTATGATTTCTGGTTTTTGCATTTAGTAAGTTGTAATTTATGGCCAAATGTGCTTTTAAAATTTTTCTTTGGGCTCTGAGGCTGTCCATTTCTAAGATGTTTGTAATTCACTTTCCTCATGCACGTACTTATCAATGACAGGTGGTGGCTATCATATACACGATGGGCTCAGAGTCACACTCTAGATACTGCTCCTTTAAACGAGTGCTCATGCAGTTTCCAACTCTCAGGAATGGCAGAACAAAACTTTTTTTGCTATTTCAGATGCCCTAAAACAAAGCTCTATCTTTCAGAGAAAGACAAAAAAGGGAAAACATTTTTTTCCTCTCCAGGAAGACCTACTAATTTATATACAGTCCTCCCTCAGTAACTGCAGGGGATTGGTTACAGGACCTCCTGCAGATACCAAAATCAGTAGATCCTCAAGTGCCTTATATATTAATAAAATGGCATACTATCATATTACCTATGCATATCCTCCTGTATACTTCAAGTCATCTCTAGATTATTTATAATACCTAGTATAATGTAAATGCCAGGTACACAGCTGTTATACTGTATTGTTTAGGGAATAATGATAAGGAAAAAAGTCAGTACATGCTAAGTATAGATGAAACTATCCTTTTTTTTTTCCTGAATATTTTCAATTTACACTTGGTTGAATCCACAAACATAAAACTTACAGATGAAAAGGGCTGAGTAAAAAATAAAACTATAATTTCATTAGTGAACCTTCAGTGGGCAGGACAGAAGGCTCAGAACTCCAGGAAAAGCCAAGGAGAATCACCCCCCAGGTTGCATGGCAGGCACATGCTCATCACCACTCTCCTCGACCTCTCTACACTGGAATTGGGGGCCAGGTCCATACCCGCAAAAGCAAGCATAAGCCTAAGAGACAGCTACTACACACACAGGACTGACTCAGTTACTCTAAGAGTTTTCCAGATTATCCAGGCAAGAGACATGCCTGCAGAACAGAATCTATCAGAAGAGCTAGTAACAAACAGCAGAAACAATTTCAACCCATTTGTATGATTTTGGAATGGGCACAAGAGTAATCCTGCTCAGTGAAATTCATTTGAATTACACAGAAGGTAAATATAATTTGTAAGGGTCATTCTCATTGAATTTGTGATTGTATTACATACCTGAGCGTAACAAGCTTCTTCTATGGCTAACCCTGTTACTAAATCGACCTGAGAATAAAAACAATCCATTTTAGCAGAAGTAACTTTGTAAAATATGGTATATTCAATATAAATCCAAACTGAATAACCCTATCCCCAAAGCACAGAATCCTTTGATACAGTACAGCAGATCAGAGTGTGACCAACATGAGAGACACCGAACCAGGCTTCCTGGTTCATGCTGACTCCACCACCTGGAAGTTGAGTTACCTTGGGGAAGTTATTTAACTTCTCTGTGCTTCAAAGAAGCCTGTCTGAACAAGGGGCTAATTGTAATGCTCACCAAATAGGGGTACTGTGAAGATTAAATGAGTTAATCTAGGTGAGGCCTTTATATAGCACCACACACACACACACACATACACACACACACACCCCTACACACACACACACACACACACACACGTGCAATAAGGACCATATAAGGTATTTATTAGTGTTGTTACCATTATGTTAATATTTAAATAAGCCAATCAAATACTTTTGCAAATTTATGAAACCGTATTTACTGCTAACAAAGTCAATCTCTTTTTACTGCTACACAGCCCAGGAAGACCCAGTGGTTCCTTACTCTGCAAGAAGGAAGCACTTCTCTTTAAAATACCCACAATTTAACCAAAATATAACAACTACCATGAAAAATCAAATAAATGGGTATGTGCACCACCCCCTCCTCCCTGGCCTGGGGCCTCTACTCTTTTGCAGTCATCTCCCTGGGGTACCCCGAGGACACACAATGCATTTGCCTTGCATTATGTGTGCGTCCCTGCAGAGAGCACATTGAAGCTAAAGGTGGAGAGAGCTAGGAGTTCTCCTTGGAATGTTTTATATAATATAATACCGATGGTAAAAATACACGGAATGCCCTGTTCTTTTGGTTTTCTATGAACTACTAGACAATAAATCTGTTAACTCGATGGCAAAAACAATGAGCATATCATAAGCTTCAGGGCACTGGTAAAATTACTGAATTCTGTGATTATGATATTGAATTAGCAATAACTATAAGAATGAAATCAATGATGTAGCTGCAAGGAACTTCAGTAGCTTTCAGTAATAGTAGCATTTAAACAGCCATATTTTAGAACTTTAAAAAAAAATGTAGAAGTCTAAACATGATTCATTTAATTTAAATCTCCACTCTCCATTCCAAAAACAAACTCAAGCATTAAGGAACCTACCTCCATCCCTTGATTAATTGCTAATTTTGCCACTCTCACTGCAACAGGTCCCTAAAAATCAAATTAAAGAAGCAGACTTTATTGTTTATGCAAATTATGTTGTATATCTCAGTAAGATTCAGAAATTCCCACCACTGGATCCATGGCACAGCCAACAATGGCACAGTCAGACACTAGATGGAAAATTGCCATCAGCATATTATTTAGATTCCACAGTGTTCCGTTATGCTGCAAACTCCAGATCCTTAAAGGTCAGCAGGTAGTCCAGCTGTGAGCTTGCTCTTCTTCTGCAACACATCCTAGAAGTTAAGTAGAGGAAGGAAAAGGAGACAAAGTCTTTTGCCTCAACACATAAGAGGTTTTGACAGAAGCTCGGGCTGGGATGAGGCTGCTGCTATTGATTAAGGTAGGGCTCTGATATCATCTGTTTCAGACACTAGCTCTCTATCTTTCCTCTATTAGCTTGATAGCTAACAGCAATGATGGTAGATTAATCAAGAGTGTCCTCTAGGCAGTGTTCCCACAGCACAAATACATTTGAAGTCTACATAAGTCTTTCAGGATGTAGAAGAGTCACAGGGGAATGAACTGGGTATCTGCTTTGAGAAGGAAAACGTTACCTCTGTCTTGTAGAAGCCAAACTCTTACCAAGCTAGCCTACAGAAAAACCAGAATCCCTCAGAAGGAATTTTGTTATTTGATCACATTTTAAAGTCCTAAAATACCATTTATGGGTGATGAATGTGAATTCATCACAAGGTAGGCCCTAAACAACAGACACAGCAAAGTACTCTTGGATGTGACATGGATGAATGCATGAAAAGACATGTTTTCCTATCAAGGAGTTTCTATTATTAAATTTGACCTATCTAAATTTTCTTCCACATCATGTTGACAGGTCTTTTTCAAAGGCCACAATTTCCAAGGCTATAGTTGTTAGACAAGTATCTTATTGATAATTCTTCCCATTGTGATGTGCATGTGTGGCAGACACCAACATCATTTTTTCATGATCATCAGTCCATTTTATTAAACTGTGTGCTCCTCTAAGTTTTCAATTTTCATCGCCTACTGACGAAGAAAAGGTGGCTGTCAAATCCTAGACGCACACAAATCCCTATCCCTGTTGTTAAAATGCAGATGTGGACTCAGTGGGTCTGAGATGGGCCTGAGATTCTGCAAGTCTAATAAGCTGCCAGGAGATACCCACTGCTGGTCCACACACCACACTTTGGGAAGTAAGACTTAGAAAACCATGAGAAAAACAGGAAAATTCAAAATGCTATTAGAGATAGTATTTGATTTAATTTGTTTCCCCTTTAAAACATAAAACCAATGCCTTTTCTTCTTTACAAGCCTTTCTTCTCAGATAAATGGAAGTAATATATAATACAGATATCACCTAGAAATGCTAATTTTACAGAGGCTTTCAGTTACTTGGAAGACTAATCATTTGGCAACAAAGTAACAAACATAGAAAGATGATTCCACTCAAACTTCATTTGGTAACTTGCACATATAATTTTCCTGTCACATATTTTCTGAAGTAACTCAACATCTGCTTATACGCTTGTTTGACCTGGAGTAAAATTAATTTTAACAATCAACGTTCTCAGAGGAGTGTCCTTCAGATGAAAGGTGAGACCGGCACACTCACAGGGACTGTGATGACAGCTGGGTGACCACAGGATGGGATGCAGCTCGACATGCTGGTAGTGAAAGGAGGGGCGGGGGTGGAGGGAGGGGACGACAGTGCCCACGTTCTTGGGCAGGGCAGTGTGTGAACAGTGGTGGCATTTGCTGCATGGTGCTCACAGGAGCATCATGGGAGACAGAGCAAGTCAGGCCCTGAGGGATAATAAGCTGCCTATAGGGAGTTCTGAAGCAGAGGGCTGAACATCTGTGTCAAGAGGCCAGGAGCGGGTGCTGCAGATCATCAGAACTGGAATTCTGCCATAACCTTTCTTAAACATGCCCCTGTCTTTCAACTGAGATGTCTTGGTCATAAAGTTTTAAGCCAATGTAAATTATAACACCAATATTCAGTCAAATTACTACTCTCCTGATACTTGTACCATTAATCTCTCTTTAGGTAGAGATTTCTCTAATATTTGGCGAGAATAAGTTTGTAGTGAGTCTTTTCCTTTTAAGGCAAAAATATTTTTTTATTTGCTTTCTCTCCATCAATCCAACAAATACTTATTGAGCATCTACTGAGTGTACAGGTCTCCATTACCTTTTATGGGAATAAATTATATAACGGTCCTTCTCTTAAAGAGCTAACAGCTCCTAAGTTAATTAAGAAGGACCAGGAGCATCAACACCAGGCAGCGTGGTTTTAAAAACCGATTCAGCAGGTGCATACCAGCAGAGTGGGGCCTGGTTTGTCAGCAAAGGCTCCTGTGCTGAATGCCAAGAACACTTTCTGAAATTGAATGCAAAACTCTGAACAAATGTAAGCATTCAAGGATTTTTTGAAAGATAGATCTCATAGCATTCCCAAAAAGATCCACAGCCCACAAAAACGTTACGAATCCTATTTGAGTTAAGCAATCCTGAGTTAGAGAGAAAATTATTTTGACTCTAGAAATGGTTAAGGGGTTATAAAACTTCACAGTTCACTAGAAATAAAGAAACGTCACTACTGTTTACAAAGCAAAATAAGACTCTTTCACTTAATTTAAAGCCCTTTAATCTTGTGATTTCAGACCAAAGGCATATTTGAAAACTATTTGAACAAGTGACAAAAAGAATCACTTAAAACAGGACTGTCAGTGCATGGCCGCTGATAACACTCATGAGTCAGCCATACAAGACGTGTTCTAGATTTTGAAAGTATACTTGTGAGGAAGCACAAAGGAGTTAAAACAATGCCTATACCACCATGAGCACACATGCAGAAAGACTGAAGCACAAAGGAGTTAAAACGATGCCTATACCACCATGAGCACACATGCAGAAAGACTGAAGCACAAAGGAGTTAAAACGATGCCTATACCACCATGAGCACACATGCAGAAAGACTGAAGCACAAAGGAGTTAAAACGATGCCTATACCACCATGAGCACACATGCAGAAAGACAACAACTGCTGCTTTTCAAGCAGGCTTTTCACTTTTCAAGTGAAGCCACTGCAACGAAAGCCCACTCTGGCACAACAGACTACGGTCCCTTACTAGAAAACAGCATATTTCAAGGTATTTTGGTTTGGGGTGGCCCAGTGTGACAGCCAGCCTTATCACTCTTTCTCTCCATGGCTACGCGTTCCCTTAGAGTGCTCAGCTGGTGAGCAAATTAAAACACCTTGCTAGGAAGTTGTGTGCACGTGACAAGTGTTGTTCAAGGGCTATTTTATCAAAGTGTGGCTACGATAAGACCCGTGGAGCATCTTCAAAGCCTCACCTGAATTCCACAGGATTGTAACGTTTAGCTCGTGTAACAGTTCCAGTTTCACAGAGCCCATGCATCCCTTTACTTGGATGCAAGCCAGGGCTTCTTCGGTATGCAAGATGACTGCTGTTTTAGTCAAAGCGTTATAAAGTTTCCTAAAAGAAGAAAAAATAAACTCTAATGAGAAATACCTGAGGTAAAAACTCTCTCGCCAGGTCCAGGGCCTTTCTGTAGGCAGCGTCTCCCTCCTGGTTCTGTTCCAGAACATGGCTGATTAATCCCACTGCTTTGGCTTCCTGGCCATCGAGGACTCGCGCAGAGAATATGAGCTCCTTGGCCAGGGACATTCCAATGGCACGTGGCAATCGCTGTGTCCCCCCTGAAGGGTGAAGGAGAGAGAAAAGGCAATGATTTGATTATCTTTTAGTTCGAACACTTCAGTGTTTCATAGCTTCATTTATAAAAATAGATCAGGGCCAGAAATTTACATGTTAAAATGAGTAGCTGGAAAACTACTTCAGAACAGAATCTAATTTCTTAATTCACTTATAAAACTAATAACACCAAAAAAGGACTCGAGAGCCTTACATCCTTATTAAGTGATTTTGGCACTGCGTATAATCTGCAACCTCTTTGGCATACCCGTGGATTGAGTCCAATCCACGGTCATCACCGTGTCAGTAACCATAAGGTGAACAGCAGTGGACAGGCAGTACCAGCCAGTAAGTCCACTGACCAGAAAGGCAGAGTTTCATCAAGCTTGGCATTCTTCTTTCAGCTTAAATAAAACTTAAATTCTGAGACATTCAACTCATATTCTTTTAAAGAATCCTTTATGGTAAAAATTGTAAACACATTTTAATTTAAAAATAAAACCAGATAATTATTCATGAAAATAGGCTTTGCCCTGGTGGTAGTTATTTCTCAGTCATCTACTTTCCTGGATATGCTCTCTCCCACAAACACACCCCTCTCTTCCAGTTGGTGAGGAAAATCCACTCTGTGTGGAGTAAGAGCCATGTATTTGGTTTTGACATTACCACTTACTACTTTAGGGACTTCGGGAGTTGATTAACTCTTCAACGTCAAGGGAACACAGTGGGTATATTAGCATGATTTAGGGTAAACTTAGGGTCAGAATAGTTCTGCAGCAAAAGATGCCTGTTTTGTTGAAGATGGTCGAACTCACTAGATCCGTCTACATATTCACTCCAGTATCTTCCAGTGATGAGGATGGGATCTCATCAAACACAAAGTTAGGCAAAAGTAGGTAACACAGGTCTAGCCTCAATGTCTACCAAGAAGAATACAAAAACAGCTGCAACATCAGTGTTCGCCTAAATCTCACCCTTACAACGTCTGTGCCAGGAGGCAGAGGAGCCGCTGACTGTCCCCTTTCAGAGCAGGAAAAGCAAACTGACACCATCTTACACAAGCTCACTGGGTTTCACTTGGCCCACAAAATATAAAACTTTTCTTTCTGCATTAGCTACCAACATTTAGAACTAGATGGGGGATTGTATCTTAAATACTGATTTCCACCTGTATCAACTGCAGCTGTGCCTTTTAGACAAAATGTTCTTTCATGTGCCAGTCTCCACCACTCTCCGTTACTGCAAAACCCCATAAAGCATTACACCAGTTCTTTTCTTTAAAGGAAAGCAAAATCATTTTTTGTTCACATCTCTATGAAAAGTGGAAAAAATTAAAGACCACGAAAGGCACATGTTTAACAAAGTATGCCTCAATTGGAAGAACAGAGCTTAAGATGCCTTATTAAGCAAACCGCATTAAAGAACCATAACTAATATTTAGAAAACAGATAATATTTAGAAAAAGAAACCCTGAATGAACTGTAAAAGGACTAATATTTTCAATGCAGATTGTTTTCAAACAAATACAATGATAATGCTACTGCAAAATGCAGTTATTACGTGTTTAAGCTGCCCAAGCAGTTAGAGATTGCAAGTTTATGCAAGTGTTGACTCGATATGGTGGAAAATATGTGTCTGAAGACAATGAAGCATTGACAAATTTAAATATAACTGTTGACAGTGATGTTGCTCAGCGTAGTAAAGATAGGTCTGAGAACTTATGGGATACGCTGCATGGAAAAGACAACCTATTTATGGTGCTTCCAACGGCAGCTGATTAGAACACAGATTTAAATATAACTCAGATAACTATATTTACTCACAGAGTTGATGAGAATTTTGATGAGACTGAAGAACTTAACGAATATATTATTCATGATAAGCACATTAGGAAATCGTTCTTTTTTGTGTTCTGGGAAAAGTTTAACGTAGACTGGTCAAAATTAACTAATGTAACCCGTGTTGTTAATGTTGCACTTTTTATTCAACAGAAACAACACTTTGCAAGTCCCTGAAGTTCACATTCATTCATCACATTGTTCCATTTATATATAACTCTGCAGGTATGAGGATTTTTGCAGAAACTTAACAAAGTGACGGTCATGTAGGTGGTAACTAATACTATGAAATAGGCTCACTCCCTTAAGCTGAGGGGCACACAGCAGGATACTTTGTTCCATAAGTTGGATGTCAACACAATAGGCTGCTGGCAGGCCCGCTGTGGAGGCTACAGGTATGGTGCATAAGAGAGCTAACTTTCTGACCCACGGAAAACAATGAATCACAGGAACCAGTGGAAAACCCTTGGTGGCTCACCCACTAACACTGCATCTAGGACTTGACCTTTTTGGATGACATCACAAGTCATCTACTTTAGTGCCTCATATAAATGGAATCATTCAGTATTGCCTTTTTGTGATTCACCTGTTTCACTTAGCATAATGTCCTCAAGATTCACCTCTGTTGTGGCATGTGTCAGATATCCATTCCTTTTTAAGGCTGAATAACATTCCACTGTACATATATACCACATTTTGCTTACCCATTCATCCATGGAAGGATACGTGGGTTGCTCTACTTTTTAGCTATTGTGAATAATGCTGCTATGAACATGGATGTACAAAAGACTATGCTTTCAATTCTGCTTTCAATTTACACAAAACGGGACTGCTGGATCATACAGTAATTTTAATCTTTTGAGAAATCACCATAATGTTTTCCATAGTCACGAAGCCATTTTACATTCCTACCAACAGAAAACAAAAATTCCAATTTCTCTCCACCCTCACCAACACTTAAATATTTTTTGTTTTTTTGATAGTAGCCATCTTAATGGGTGTGCAGTAGCATTTTGACACCTGCCCAATAGTCCCATAGACAGTTCTTTTGCATAAACACAGAAATTGACCCTTCTGCTGTTAAGCTTGAAACCTTTATCTGAGTTTCTTTCTCAGAAAAGGACCTTCAGGCCTTCCAAAAAAAGTATCAAAGGACTTTGATCACGCCAGATGACTGCTTGCCCCTCCCTAGTTGTTGATTTCTTATACAGTTACATTTCTTCCCTGCTATATAAACCTCTAGTTTTAGTGGGTCAGGGAGATGAATTTGATGCTGAGTTTCCATCTCCGCAGCAGCAGCCCAATTAAAGCCTTCTTTCTTGGCAATACTTGTCGTGACAGTGATTGGCTTTCTGTGCTGAGCAAGAGGACCTAGACTGAACCCCTGGTGTTTTGGTAACAATTTCATTGTGACCAGAGATGCTGAGCGTCTCTTCCCTAATGACTAGTGACAAAGGGCAAGTTTTCACATGCTTATTGGCCAACCACATATTGTCTTTGGAGAAATGTCTATTTAAAGTCCTTTGCCTATTTTTAATTTGCGTCGAGTTGTTTTATTTGTTGAGTTATAGGAGTTCTTTATATATTCTGGATATTAATCTTTTATCAGATATAGATTTGCAAATTATTTTCTCCCATCCCATGGGTTGCCTTTTCACTCTGTTGATAGTGTCTGATGCATAAAATTTTTAATTTTGGTGAAGTCCAATTTATCTCTTTTTTCTCTTGTTACCTGTGTTACTGGTGTCATATCCAAGAAATTACTGCCAAATCCAATGTCATAAAGCTTTTTTTTCACGCTTTCTTCTAAGAGTTGTACACGTTTAGCTCTCATGCTATGGTCTTTGATCAATTTTGTGTGAATTTTTGCATAGGGTATAAAGTATTCCCAACACTACTTCTTAAAAGGGACATTTTTAAATGATTACACAAATACATGATTTCATTCACTCATTCCTAATGAAATTTTAACTTTTAGAACATTTGTTTGGCAAGAAATTATCTTAGTTTGCAGAAATCTAAGACTGATGGCCTGAACTATATTTTTACACGTGTGCAACTGAAAGCAACATGTCCCCTCCACCCATTAGGCATGCAAAATTCACGATTTAAGCTTTTTAAAAATACTATAATCTGTTCAGTTTGCCTTTCTTAATTACTAATGACACTATGAGCAAAGAACTTTACAAATGGAAGTTTTAGCGCAATATCGGACAACTAAACATGACAGATATGGAATCTAAGATTTTTACAAATACCTCAGGAACAGTTACCCCAAATGACAAAACTTTTTATGCCAACATTCATTTCCAGCTCTAAAGTACTCAAATTTATTAAAAGGCATTTTCTATAATTAAACTAAATGAAACTCAGTACTCTTGCTAGTTAAGGAAATCAAGGTTTATTGCAAAACTACATCTCAATCCACAAGCTGAGACATGGCACTGAAATCTTGATGCAATTATAGCTCACTGTAGCATCCGCCTCCTAGGCTCAAATGATCCTTCTGTCTGAGCCTCCTTGGTTAGCATGCCATGCCTGCCATCAGACTGTAAACTCCAAATATAAAGAGAAGAACTAGAAAAAAAAAAACTGCTTCAATCCACCTTTTCTTAATTCTGAATATCAAACTCCAATATTAATTTGGAGTTAGGTAAAAGTGAAGGTAGTGTATCCTACTTCTGTCAGTTGTTTCACACAAGGTTTGCTTTACTAGATTAGATCATATAATCTGCCAGTTCCCTTAGGCATGTGAATTCAGGATTACTAAAGTGCCATTTCTAAACAGTCTTAGTGATTGATGAAATTAAGCAGAATTAAAAAACAGAATTTTCTTTGGTGAAATTACAATTGTTTCAGTCTAACAAGTAGCCCTAATGCATTTAAGGTGACAGCAGTCTACAAAACTATTCAAACTCACATTGTCCATCCCAACTGCCTGCAACGCAGAGCCCTGACTCCTGGCCAGGATCTGCTCTGAGGCTCCCTGGGCTGTAGCATTTACTCAGGGATTAAGACATCAGCAAGTAACACATTCTCAGGACACTCCTGCAGGTACTCCATTGTATGAGGAGAAATGTGAAGATAAGCTGGTAATTCCAGGATAGCTCACAAGGTTTTCACTAAAGAAGAAAGACCTCATAGCAACCATAGTTAATAGTATGTAC